TTCCTGCTCCTTTTACAGATGAGGAGATTGGGGGTCACCAAGGCATGGAGCTGTTTGTGAAGCGGCCCGAGTTCCAGGCCCTGAGGGCTGGCTTCGCCCTGGATGAGGGTGAGCAGGGTGGCAGGACACTGAGTGGCCAGCAGGGGATAGGGAGGCTGCTAGTGGGGGCTAGGCCGCTCCACCCTCTCAGGCCTGGCCAACCTTTTCCTCCTTAGGCCTGGCCAACCCCACTGACGCCTTCACTGTCTTTTACAGTGAGCGGAGCCCCTGGTGTGAGTATGCACTTGGACGTTGGGGGTCACTGTGCAGATGAGAGACTGGGCCAGAAGGGGCAGGGGCCCGCCAAGGGTTCCACAGCAAGTTGGGGCCTGAGTAGGCCTTGAACCCAGGGCCTCTGCCTCCCAGCCCCTTCCTACCTGGGCATCTCTTTCCTGAGCTTCTGAAGGGAGGCCCTAACCATGGGCAGAAACCAGCTCTACACTGTGCATTCTGAGGCAGGCAGAGACCTGGCAGAGGAGCCTGGAATGAGGGGAAGACCCCGGGCCCATCCCAGGGCTGGTTGCTTTTCCAGCCTCTTCCATACTGAAGACACCCCCTTCCCCCTGCCTCTCCCAGGGGTGCAGGTCACAAGCACCGGGAAGCCAGGCCACGGCTCACGATTCATTGAGGACACAGCAGCAGAGAAGCTGGTGTGTGGCATACGGGGAGGGAGTTTGGGAGTTCCCGAGGCTGTCCTGGGGCCACTCTCACATCTAACCTCACACTCTCCTAGCACAAGGTTGTGAGCTCCATCCTGGCTTTTCGGGAGAAAGAGAGGCAGAGGTGAGGCAGCCTGGGAAAGGGCACGGGGCTCTGGGAGGCTACGCAGGAGAGGAGGGGTGCTGAGCCCCCTTTTTATCTGTTCTTCCCCCTTGCTGCTGCTGCCTCTGCCTCCCACCACAGGCTGCAGTCAGACCCTCAACTGAAGCAGGGGGCCGTAACCTCCGTGAACCTGACTAAGCTAGAGGGTGGTGTAGCCTATAATGTGGTACCTGCCACTATGAGCGCCAGCTTTGACTTCCGCGTGGCACCAGATGTGGACCTGAAGGTGCCATCTCCACCTGGGTTTGGAGGAGGGAGCCTGGGTCCTCAGCCCTGTCCTAGAGGCTCAGGGAGAGCCTGAGGGGTCAGCTCATCTTCCCTTCTCACAGGCTTTCGAGGAGCAGCTGCAGGGCTGGTGCCAGGCAGCTGGCGAAGGGGTCACCTTCGAGTTTGCTCAGGTGTGGACTGGGAAACCTACAACAGGGGAGTTGTCGGAGCTCGGGAGGCTGGGCTTGCCGCATGTGTCACTGCAGGAGTGTACATTTGGTGTGCCTGCATACATCCTGGCTTTAGCTGTGAGACATGTTTTGTTCACCAACAAGCGTTAGTTGTGTAGGCCACTGTTGGGTGCTGGGGAATACTAGGGAGTGAAATTAGACAAGCTTTTGCCCTCATAGTCCTTACACAATGAAGGGAGGAATAGACATGAATCAAAAAATTATGTATTACTTTTATATAAGTGTGAACACGTGGTCCAGGAAAGGGTGTGACCTCATAACTGTGAACCTGTAACTGGAGTATTTGACCAGTCTGAGAGGTCTGGGAGTGCCATCTTGAGGAAGGGGCACTTAGGAAGGATCTGAGGATGGACAGGAAGTGGAGGGCAGAGAAGGTCCCAGGCCTGTGACCTTTGAGAGACTGAAAGAGGGCCTGTTGCTGGACTGGCCAGCTGGATGTCTGGGTAGGTGGGTGTGTGCCCTGTGCCAGGCACAGCCTACCCTATGAAGAATAGGGCAAGATGCCCAGGCCTTGTCCTGATCCTGCCATCCTTCTCCCCACAGAAATGGACAGAGCCCCAAGTGACATCTACTGATGATTCAGACCCCTGGTGGGCAGCTTTTAGTGGGGTCTGCAAGGACATGTGAGCACACTGGCCAGCCCCCCTCTCCCCTTTCCTCCCTCCCACCTTCCTTTGCTCCTTCAACCCTTCCCTTGCCCTCTCCCCTCTCTGCCTCCACATTCACCAGGTTCTTCCCTCTACAGGAACCTCACCCTGGAGCCGGAGATCTTCCCCGCTGCCACAGACAGCCGCTATCTTCGCGCGGTGAGCTGTTTGCAGTACGGTGGGCAGTGGAATGGTCCTGGGTGCTGGCCTTCCCCCTAACGGCTCCTGTTGCCCCCCTGCAGGTGGGGGTCCCAGCTCTGGGCTTCTCACCCATGAACCACACACCCGTGCTGCTCCACGACCACGATGAACGGCTGCATGAGGCCACGTTCCTCCGCGGGATCGACATATACACTCGGCTGCTGCCTGCCCTGGCCAGCGTGCCCACCCTGCCCGGTGAAAGCTGAGCCCCATGCTCTCCATCCTCCACCCCGATCAGTGCCAAGGACCCTTCTGCCCCCCTGCCCAACAATAAAGTCTGTGTGGACAGGGACCACTTCTGAAGTTCTAACAGCAAGGATGTTCATGGAGCAGGGTTTCAAAGATAATAGTAACACCTACTTCTGAGATGAGGGATCATACACCATGGGCCGCACCTGCTGCCCCAGCGTAACAACTCTTTGAGCCTCCCCAGTGCCCAAAGTTGGACCACAGATGAAGGCCTAGTGTGACCAGGAACAGTGCTTCACTGGCTGCTCTGAGGGCCAAGGCTGCTGGTGAAGCACCTGATCCAGGGGGCAAAGAATACAGCACAGTCATGCAAGTAAGGCAGTGCCACCATTGCTTGGCCTCCCAGGAGCCCTAGAACTTGGGGGACTGTACAACTCAGAGCAGTGAATGCTGGCCAGGCACGCTAGGAACCTAGAACTCCCCAGGCCAGAGTGCAGAATTCTTCTGGGTCCTCCCTTTTCTTCTGGGTAAGCTTTAAGACCTGACAGGGATGTTTGGGGTTTTTCTGTCCTCACCAGCCTGCCCAGTCCAGCAAGCTATGTGCCCCAGTGTCCCTAAGGCACCCAACCACTCCTCATTTACTAGGTCCCCTTCTGACACTCCAAGGCCCTATTTCCCCTGACTCCCACCCACACCCTGCCATCCAAGGAAGGCTAAACTCTTCTCCCACACAAAATGTAGGTACCGACCCCACCTGACTGACAGATCCTGCCTCAGGTTTATTTGTACAAATAGCACAGGAGGACACCAGCCCCATGCAGACAGCAGCCCAGGGGTCACACCAGTCCTTCTGTCCTCACATTGGCAGATAAAGGTCTCTACTCTGGAGCCTTTGTGGGGGCCTGGGCACCTTTGGGAGCTGGAGCTGGAGCTGGTGCTGGTGCTGGAGCTGGTGCTGGTGCTGGAGCCGCAGCTGCAGCCGCAGCCGCAGGCGCACCTGCAGCCTTCGCCTTGGTTTGAGCCTTGGCCTGGGACTTTGGCCGGCAGAGCCTGAGACCCTTGGCGATGCGGGCACGAGCACGTTTCCCGAGCCTGGGGTGAGCAATGTAGGCAAGTCGACTGAGCTTGCGGCTGCCGCCCGTTGGGATCCTGGGCTTGACCTCCTTGGGCTTTACGACAGCCTTGATAGCCTCAGCACGTGCACTTATGGCCTTGGCATTGTTGGCCTGCATCTTCTTCAGGCCCCTTTTGTTGTGCTTCTTGGCAAAACGCATGTTCCTCAGGAACTTGGGGTCCACCTGGAAGACAAAAAATGTACAGGTGGCTGTTAAGTGCAGCATGTAGGGGCCCCCAAGTCACCCATGGTGCCCCTCTCCACAGCAGCACCCAGGAGACTATCAGGCGCCAGCCGAGGCCTACTGGGAGCTGAGACAGCATCAAGTCAACCTTAAATGCAGAAATATCTGGCCCTTAGAACCCAATAGAGCTCAGAAAGGAAGAACAAATTCCTACAGCAGGATTTTGGTTGAGTTTTTCCTGAAACCCCCTCATGGACACCCCACCCCCTCACCCTTAAAAGGTGCCAAATACTAAGTACAGCAGATTCACAGGAAACAAGGCAGAATAAGAGACCAATGGAGGGGAAGGAAGGGAAGGGAAGGGGGCGGGGAGAGACCAACAGTACAGTGGAGTAGCAAAGTGGAGACAAGACTCAGTTCTGCTCAGACCCTACAGCCTCAGCCTTCTTGGCTAATCCTTAGAACTCCCTAGCACAGGAAGGGAAGCTGCCCCCTCCAGGCCTAGCACTGCATCAGATCAAGGTCATATGGGTGGTCAAAGTGGAATGGAAGGCTCACAGGTACCAGGTACACAGGCAAGACCACCCCTTCCCTTGAAAAGCTGAGTGAGCAAGGGAGATGATCAGACAAACTGCTCTCAGGAGGCAGGTTACAACTTGGGCCAGTAAAGGCCAAGTAAAGCTTTATTACAGGTCTGGCACAACATGAAGTCCAGGCAAAACGGAGGACAGTTAAGCTACATGAAAGACCCTGACCATGCAACTGGAGCCAAACACACACTTTTTTGTGATTCGGCACACACACTCACCCCCTTAAGAGATTCATATCGTTGTGATCGGGGTTTCTTGATGCCATTTCTGTGCCATTTTCGGGCTGTGGGGAAAAAAGGAATTAGTCCAAAAAAGAGATTTCTTCTAATACGACCACCATCACAGCTGCAAGTCCGGGAGAACCATAATTTCTCCTTACTTGACATCCGTCTAAGAAACCCCTTACCACTGAATGCAAAGCACTGTGGATTATCTCAAGTGGATCCCTGGCTTCTAAATCTACAGCCCCATAGGTAATGCTGGCTGAAAGTAAAATCAGCCCCAGGCCCACTGCAGGAATGTGCCTCCTTTCCCTGCCCAGTATCCCTAATCTTTGCCAGGGTCCGGGGCATTAGATGAAGGCTGGGCCAGGGGAACTTACACTGGTTGTGCGTGGTGTGGTTCTTGGACTTGGCCATGTCTGCAACTGGAGGATGAGAGTGGAGATCAGAGCTGGGGGCTCGCGGGGCCGGGCCGACCTCTTCGCCTTGATCTATTAGAATGTTAGGCCAGAAGCCTGAATGAGGCTTCAGCACAGATGCCTTGCATTTGCGCCCTCCACCAGCCTGGATCCATTCTGCACGACCCAACGCCAGTCTCCCCCTCCCAAACTCAGGTAATGGTGCCTCGAAACCACCCCCTCAGCAGCAAGGCTGCGCTCTCCCCTCAAATCCGAATTCTTCCCCTCCCATCCATCCATTGAGAACCTACGAGCACCGTCCCCGCCCCGCGGCTTCCGCTCCCCACAGCCAGGCAGCCGGTCTCCCCGTCCTCCCTAAGGCCACGCGCCCCGCCGCCGTCCGGGAGTCACGGATGGCTCCGGATACCACGCGGCTAGCACTCACCGGGACCCGCAGATCCCGAAACGCCTGGGACCGGAAGAGAAAGAGGAACGCCGTGGTGCAGCACGGGAAATAGGCTTGTCGCGGCAGGAAGGGACTGCTGGAAAAGTTTCCCCCAGCACCGTGAAGATAGGTTCCTAAGCCCGGAGGACACAAACCAGATGGGAAGGTGGTGCTACAGGCCTGGCCTCGCTCCTTCAGGTTTACCGACCCTTCTCCTTTCTCCTCATATTCCTCCTGACTTGGGTCCCAGGTCTCATTAAAGGTCTTGAAGGCGAAGGGAGTCATTGAGGAATACATGTTAGGCAGGGGGTAACAGGAGATTCGTGTTCCTAAAAAAGTATTTCTGGCTACTGCGCGGAAAATGGACTGTAGCGGGCAGAGGAGGGAGAGCCGTCAGGAGTCTGGTGCAGGATGGGACAGGATGGTGCCTGGAGCTGAGTCGGGGCACGGGGGATGGATAGGAGTGGGTAAGGAAAGAGAGTAGACTGGGCTTGGGATGCAGATTGGGGAGAGCAAGAAGGCCTGTGTTGCCCCTAAGTTTTTGGCTTGAACAAGTGCGTGAAGATGGTGCTTTTTACAGAAATGGGGAAGGTTGGGGGAGGGACAGGGGTCTTGTTGCTTTATTTTGAGGGGGCCAGTGATCCAGATGTTTCTTTTTATTTTTTTAAGATTTTTTTTGATGTGGACCATTTTTAAGGTCTTTATTGAATTTGTTACAATATCTTTTATGTTTTGGTTATTTGGTCACAAGGCATGGTGGGATCTTAGCTCCCCCACCAGGGATGGAACCTGCACCCCCCTCCAGCCCCCCACCCCCCCGCACTGGAAGGCGAAGTCTTAACATCAGGGAAGTCTCCAGATGTTTCTTTTTAGATGCATTAAATGTGATATGCCTGTTGTCATCCAAAATAAGTAAATGTTGCCTCCTAATAACTCTATTGCTTTCTCCACCTCTTACCCCTGTAGTTCATTTCCACACAGCAGTGAGGCCTGAGGGCACTTTTTAAGATACAAATCAGATCTTGTCACTTAAAGTCTGCAAGGATTTCACCTTGCATTAGAGATAAACTCTTTACCTCCCCTAATCTTGGCAATGCTCTCCTTATCATTCACTTTTCTCCACACCGATGGACTTTTTCTTTCCTGCCAAGCACACATACCTGTTCCTGCTTCAGGGCCTTTACACTTGCTATCCCCACCACCTGTACCACGTTTTCCCTGCTCTTTGGATAGTGTGCTTGCTTGGAGAAGCCTCCCTAGCCTGCCCTATCTAAAACAGAGACCCTTTGCCCCATCTCCCCAGTTACTCTGCATCCTCTCATCCTGTTTGCTTCCTTCATAGAACTTTCCCACACTCTAACTACGTTTTCTATTTACTTGTGTATGTGTTCATTGGTTCAAGCACCAAGAGTTCAGAACTGGTTTGGTCACCTTCATTTTCCCATTGCCTGACACAGCACTTGATGTAGAACAGGAACTTGAGAAACACCTACTGAATGGACGTTCCTTGGCAGGCAGGTTCATGGACTGACCGAAGCATTTTGCAGAGAGTTGGGGAGTGAAAGGGAAGGGAGGATGTGGCGGCAGGACACACAGGTGACTCCTTACTGAAGCATTCCTGAGGAGAGGGAGAGAAATCTGGCAGGTGTGAGTTAGGAGAATCAAGAGCAGGCTCAGATGCTCAAGGGGTAACCTAGTGCCAACAAAGAAACAATTGAACACAGGTTTGTGCCCCGGTCCGGGAGGATCCCACATGCCGCGGAACGGCTGGGCCCGTGAGCCATGGCCACTGGGCCTGCGCGTCCGGAGCCTGTGCTCCGCAACGGGAGAGGCCGCAGCAGTGAGAGGCCCGCGTACCGCCAAAAAAAAAAAAAAAGAAAGAAACAATTGAGGCCATAAAGATGCCTCTGCAGGAGCAGAGTCCTTGAGGGGTGCTGAGAACAGGTGGAGGAGGTGGTAGGCAGAGGTGGGGACTGTAGGAGGTGGGCGTGGCACGAGGCCCCAGGGTATATGGGAGGTGGCGCTGGAAGTTTGGACAAAGAGAAGGCTTTTTGTTCTGGGGTTTTTTTTTTGGCCATGCCACGTGGCTTGTGGGATCTTAGTTCCGTGATCAGGGATTGAGCCCACACCCTTAGCAGTGAAAGCGCAGAGTCCTAACCACTAGACCACCCAGAGAATTCCCAGGGGAGAAGGTTTGACTGCCACACCTTGAGAAAGGGAAGCAAATGTTAGGGGTCGGTAAAAAAGGCTGTGACAGCTTTAAAGGAAACAGGCTGCCCCATTGTGTGGCCTTCCAACTAAGCAGTAGCTCTCACAGATCCTAAAAAGTGAGCAATGACATGTGCTGAGGACTTGGTGTTACCAGGTTGTTTTGACAGTGGCAGAGTAAGCAACGAGCAGAGAGCCATCGTCCGACAGGGAGGCAGATTCAGAGATGATGACCATGCAGTACTGTTGGAGCTGCTATAGGGATAGGCCCAGGGTGAAATCCCAGCTGTCAGGCAAGGGAGGAGGCAGTGACAAGAATGAGGAGCTTTGGCTGTGACCTGAGGGGACCATTTGGGGAGCTAAAGGGAACCATGATCTGGAGCCATTGGCCTGCCATGCTTTTCATTTTTTTCTTCTTTTAATTAATTAATTTGTTTATTTATTTATTTTTGGCTGCATTGGGTCTTCGTTGCTGCGCACAGGCTTTCCCTAGCTGTGGCGAGCAGGGGCTACTCTTCGTTTCAGTGTGCGGGCTTCTCAGGACTTCTCATTGCGGTGGCTTCTCTTGTTGCGGAGCACGGGTCCTAGGCGTGCGGGCTTCAGTAGTTGTGGCTCGTGGGCTGTAGAGCGCAGGCTCAGCAGTTGTGGTGCACGGGCTTAGTTGCCCCATGGCATGTGGGATCTTCCTGGACCAGGGCTCGAACCCATGTCCCCTGTATTGGCAGGTGGATTCTTAACCACTGAGGCACCAGGGAAGTCCTGCCATGCTTTTCAAAGTGGGAAAGATGGTAGGGCCAGCCATATGTATAAAGAGATAGTTTTCCTACTTTCCTTCCTTTCTTTCTCTCTCCTTCTGTCCTTTCTCCCTTCCTTTCTTCCTTCCTCCCTCTTTCTTCCTCCCTTCCTTCCTTTCTTCCTCTATTTCTCTCTTTCTTTCTTCCCTCCCTCTCCTCTCTCCTCCTCCTTTTCACTCTCTCTTGCTCCTCTCCCAATCTCTCTCTCTTTTTCTCTTCATAAATGTGTAAAGAGCTTATACAAGCTCTTCTGTAACTTGATTTTATTCATTCAGTAGTAACTCATGGATATCTTTCCCTTTTCATGAAAATCTTTTGTAATCCTATTTTATTTTACACATTTAAAAATCTTATTCTGAGGAGATGTCAGTAAACATCACCAGATGTCAAAGGAGTTTCTAACACAAAAAAGGTGAAGAACTTAGCCCTTCCTCCAGGGCTTCCTCCAGCCCTTCCTCCTCACCCTCTGTGTGTCAGCAGTTCTTGCCCCATCTCTGTCTGTGCAGAGGCCTGGGTCCACTTGCTGACCTCTGTGGCATAGCCTTGGGCAGAACTACTACCTGGACTCAGCAGAACGTCTGTCACCCAGGCCCCTTGTAAATGCCTTGGGCACAAGACACAGAGAGATGTGAGGCCTCAGTGACCAGACGGACCTTGGACTCGGCGGGGCTGGTTGTGATCCGCCTGAGCCATGTGGCCTGCAGTGGTATTGTCTTGTCCAGGCCTTGTCTAGAGCTACAGCCCAACTCACAGCTCGAGTAGGATCCACTGGGGCTTACTCATTGAAATTATAGGGTCAGAGATATCTGGGGTGATTTTTTCTGTCACAGTGCCAGGTACGTGTGGGGACCTGATAAACGTGTGAGGAATTAAATGTGCGCCCTTCACCAATCCAGGCAGATGGCAAAATCAGGAGGCAAGAGGTCAGTCAGCCTGGAGGATTTCACAGAGACAAAAGTCAGCTTTTCTACTTGGTCCAGATCTCTGCTCTCTAAGCCTCAGTTCTGAGTGTAACCTGCAGATGAAAATAGTAATTGTCTTGTGGGGTTAAACCGGATAATTTTTTTTAAATTGAAGTATAATTGATTTACAATCTTGCGTTAATTTCTCATGTACAGCAAAGCGATTCATGTATATATATTCTTTTCATATTCATGTATATATATTCTTTTTCATATGGTTAATTACAGGAAATTGAATATAGTTCCCTGTGCTATACAGTAGAGCCTTGTTGTTTATCTATTTTATATATAGTAGTTTGTATCTGCTAATCCCAAACTCCTAATTTATCCCTCCCCCACCCTTTCCCTTTGGTAACCATAAGTTTGCTTTCTGTGTCTGTGAGTCTGTTTCTGTTTCATAAATAAGCTCATTTGTGTCATATTTTAGATTTCACATATAAGTGATATCATAGGTGATTTCTCTTTATGACTTGCTTCACTTAGGATGATAATCTCTAGGTCCATCTATATTGCTGCAAATTGCATTATTTCATTCTTTTTATGGCTGAGTAGTATTCCACTGTGTGCATTCCATATATATGCGCGCGCGCACACACACACACACACACACACACCACATCTTCATCCATTCATCTGTCAATGGACATTTAGGTTGCTTCCATGTCTTAGCTATTGTAAATAGTGCTGCTATGAACACTGGGGTGCATGTATCTTTTTGAATTAGAGTTTTCTCTAGATCTATGCCCAGGAGTAGGATTGCTGGGTCATGGTAACTATATTTTTCGTTTTTTAAGGAACCTCCCTACTGTTTTCCATAGTGGCTGCACCAATTTACATTCCCGCCAACAGTGCAAAAGGGTTCATTTTTCTCCACATCCTTTCCCGCATTTATTATTTGTAGACTTTTTTTTTTTATTTGTAGACTTTTTGGTGATGGCCATTCTGACCAGTGTGAGGTGATACCTCATGGTTTTGATTTGCATTTCTTTAATAATTGGCAATGTTGAGTATCTTTTCATGTGCCTGCTGGCATCTGTATGTCTTTTTTGGAGAAGTGTCTATTTAGGTATTCTGCCCTTTTTTTTTTTTTTTTTTTTTTTCCCC